GCATGACACTTTTACTTTCAATGTCAATGTTAGAAAACCGATCGTACAACATTTCATAACTCAGGTGTCAGATCATGGAGCTAGAAAAGGTCGATCAGCTCAAAAAATCAATGTCCCTTGCAGGGGTCCACCCCCAAAAAAAAGGCTAGGGTCAACAGGTTTTTCTAAAGTCGGTCAGGAAACAGGAAACACAACATTTTTTCCCTAGGCCTAGTAGTGGGGAATTGACGGGAGACAAATTGAGGGATCTTCTGACAACATCAGTTAAGATCCAATCCTACTCCTCACTGTTGGCACAATCTCATACCCCGACAGGAATCCCCCATCCATTTTCCAGTGGCTCCGTACCATGGACGCATATTTACAACTTTCAGGGACAGTAATAAACTGTTCTGCGCTAACGTGCCTTCTTATAGGCCTGTCATATGTTTTCCTTTTTATCTATGACACACAGGCATTTGTAGGCATGGAGCCTCGGAGATAAAATGGTAGTATTTCACCTGCCAGTAAGTAAAAGAGGTAGTAACTTCTTATTCCTTCGTCACACTTTTACCTGATAATTGATGGTACATGTATGTTGTAACATATATAATATAGCCCGCCCTAGGGGAGCATCCGTTTGGTTAGTATAAGGGATGAAAATCCCCAGCATCAACCCTCCTAGGGTGTATTAATGGTGGATCCCCCAGTAACCTTGACGGGATGCCTTAATCCATATTCAGCCTGTGCCATCTTACGCCGGCTTTGGTGTAAGCTAAGATCTCAGGAGGGCAATGAGGGAGAGGTGCACATCATAATCAACACATCATGACAGTGTGTGCCTCCCCTAATCTTCCCTCATCTTCCCCATCACTCTTTCCCATCGAAAAGGTCGTCCACAAACCGGCGCGCTCCGAGATCGTGCCGTGATTGATCGAGAGCACCTGCGTCTGAGCGCAGGCCTAGGGAAAAAAAGTTGTGTTTCCTGTTTCCCGACCAACCCCAGAAAAACCTGACGACCCTAGGCTTTTTTGGGTGGAACACTGCAAGGGACATGAATTTTTAGAGCTGATCAACCTATTCTAGCTCTATGATCTGACACCTGAGTGATGAAACATTGTATGATCGGTTTTCCAACACTGACATTGAAAATACATGTGTTTTATTTTAAATACAAGTTTTATTTTGTTTAACTGTTAAACTGCATTGCTAGCATAAGTATAAGTTAAGTATAAGGTAGATCACTAGAGATTGCCAAAGTCTAATAAAAAAAAAGGAAAGGAAAAAATAAGATAATCCCTACCTACCGACCCTAATTTCTTCCGGATTGAAACAGGAAACACAACATATTTTTTCCTAGGCCTCAGAAATAAGTCACGTTGTTAAAGATGGGCCGGCCTTCAAAGAGACTCCCCATGCACGTAATTATAAAATCAATCCATCCCATTATGGCTCCCAGGAAATAGGGGTCGGCAGTGGCGCTGTACTTGAAGACTTCTCCCCCACCCACACCATCACCAAACTGGGAAGCAGAAGAAGCTTGCTGCGCTTTTTCATTAATCCTAAACAACCACCTACCTTTGGCGCAAACTTGCAGACGGTACAATATTACACACATCCAGCCCTATTATGTATTGAGGCCGTTTTGCACGTACTACTGGGGTTTGGAAGCAGTAATAGCTTTGGCCATCTTCCAGCGGCAGTATTTGGGACAATTTTTGGTGTGGAAAGTTTCCACTTTGTGTTTTTGAAGTGCTTTCAAGTCGTTCTACAAGGGCAAATTGCAAAGTTGCCACAAAACATGTAATTCTAAAAGCAAGGATGAAACATGATGGTTTGATGCTGAGGAAAGTGACTTATGAGTGCACTCTTTGTCTTCCTATTCCACGGAAAAGCCTCCATCCCAAAGTGCAAAGTGCTGTTTGAAAGCCTACACCGAAGGACTGATCTTGACTGATCTGGCTAAAAGGTTGAATGTCTCAGTAACTTTGAACATGTTAATGTATCAATGCAGTTCAAACATACTTGTACTGTGGGTCTATGCCATGTCTAAAGTTATATGAAAGAGAATGGTCTACATAAAAGGCCTGTACAGCTTATTTTGCTAACTTGTAATCCTGCAAGTTTGAATTTACTTAAATGCAATTTTGTGCTATCAGATAACTGTAATAAATACAACTTAAAGTGTGGTGGTTTAATTGAACGTTATGCATTAGAAATATTTCTGAACATACCATAAAATGTGCTGAGAATTCGTAATGCACTCTATGCTCCATTCAGGTCGTCAACCCCTTCAAAGTCTATACCATTACAGCCAGACCTACACCCCCCCTCCCCTTACCTGTGACTTTACCTTCACCCCACAGAGGTAACTTCCTGGAACATTCCTTCACACCTGTCGAAAACTGCGCCGTGAGACGAGACCACTTACCAACCATAGCCTTCGGGGCCTCATCCAGAACTATATATTCTGTTAGCAATGACAAGCTGTCCAAATTATTTACCATGCCCAGCGGATGTCTGGAGGCAAGAGCCATAGAAAATCAATGGACGGTCACTTACAGGTAGGTATGATACTGACCGATGGAGGGTACTTTACATTAAACATTGACTTGCTGAAGTTTGACAGCAGCTCTTAGATGGTATTTCGCATTCATTATGTTCTTCAGCCATGATTAAATTGGCTTCTCTTCCAACCTGCACATTGCAGATAAACTTTCAGTGCTGCAAAGAAAAAGTCTGATAATTTCCCCTTTAATTTATACATGCATAGAGATAAAAAGGATAGAGGTTGGAGGGATATACATAGAAAAGTATTGCAGTGGGAGGAGTAGGAGACTTCAACAAAGTTTTAGATTCTCAGTTCAAACAACTTTGTTGTACAGTAGTAAAACATGAAAGACATATTTGCAATGGCATGAATTTGCAGTGGAGAAGTCACTGTAAAAATAAAACAACAGGAAAGGTTTCACAATTTTGAATTTACGCTGCAGTAGTCCTTACAATAGGTAAGCCCTATATAGGATTAGGAAAGTTGTTTCACCCTGGAGGAAAGTTAAGTGGCAGTTACGCATTTAAACAAGCCTGTATACATGTGGGTCTATCACTACTGTAGCTTATATTTTTACAAGTTAGTAGTGTAAAGTTTCATGTGGAACTGTTATTTTGGATAACCTTGACTTTGCTGTTAGAAAAGAGACGTCATAGCAGATTTTCAGAAGTACAGTAGTGAGCTTCAGTATGGGTTTTAGGCACTACTTTCACAAAGTGCTAAAAAGGCAGCACCACATAATAGTGCTTTTACTGGGAGAATAAAGGGCTTGGATTGCTGTCAGATTCAGCTTCCCAAGTGAAAGAGCTTTGCAAGAACATGCCAGATGTAGTTTGTGGCATTATGGTTGAGTTAGGACTAGTCCATTTATAATGTCTGGACGGGTATAACTGACATCATTCTTCTTCTTCTTCTTTTTTCTTTGACATCATCATACTGTATAAAAAGTGGACTTATAAGTGCCTTATTTTGTATTAAAACTAAAAAACTAGAAAATTGTATTCAGAAATTGTTTCAACTTCGAGCTAAAAGATACTGCACTCTTGATTTTAACTGTGTCAAGAAATTTAAGTGCCCTGAAGATATTGATTTGTTACCTGTACTCCATCCCAAAAACATTTTTGTTTGAAGGAACACTTTGGTTATATGCAATGCTCCCTCGAAAAACTCAATTTTTATTAACAAGGCGTTTCTGTGAACCAGATGACGCATGCGAAATAGAAAACCCAAAGTGGCTTACATGTCTCATACCTACAAGCTATAAAATAGCGGCATTGCCAGAAGAGATTTAGGATAATGACAAAAGTAAGATTAACATGTCGTCAAAGCGAGACCAGATAGTCATTCAAACCGGATAGGATACCAAATTTCATGGCATTGCCAGTATAAAACCAATGTTGTTACACACACATGCATGTACTTTGAGCAGGGAAACTTTCCATTCAATCTGGTTTTACTGCTTCTGAGGCAATCTTTTATCCATTACATGGAGTAAATCGCTCTTTCCTATAGTGGGCAAGCTGCCATTAGTTGTCTCCTTTGCTTAGGCAGCACTTCTGATGGATGGAATGTATTATCCACCAGGCTTCGAGCATCTCAACACACTCGCAGGTCCTTGCCCTGAGTGAGCAAAATATATTTCCTCTGGATAATGCACTTTCTGTGGTGCTTCATACTTTCTGTACAAGACGGATGTTCCAATAAGAGAACACAGCAGTTAATGTACGACGTACAAGGGCTCAGAGTTATGGCAACAAGACATGAAAGGGGCGTTTAAGTGTCACATGACGAACATGAATGTCAGGGACACAGTCAAGGTCTTCTCTGCAAAAATACTGCATGTAAGGATGGCGGAAAGGAACAGTTTGATTTTCCATCTTCACCTGAACCTTACATGTGTCTTTTTGAAAGGCAATTAAGTTAAGAAAGCAAAATTACCCTGGGCTCCAAATAACATATTTCTGTTTTTCTGCAACATCTCATTAATTTTTATATGCTAATTATCTTGAAAGTTCATCTGTTTCGGTAGAAGTCATTATCTACATGACTGTGATATATTAATGTCCAAACCTGCCTTGTTATAGCTTTCCCAAACTGCAAGTTATTGACATCTTTTTCTGCAACCTCCAAAAAAAAGTCTGTATTTTTCAGCACTGTTAAACCGGTTGTGTGACAGGCTGAATAAAAGTTCTAAACGGGAACTATGTGGCTCCAGATGTCTTACTGAGCGACAACTGTGTGTGAAAGATGTCAATAACTTGAAGAATGAATCTCCTCTGACTACTATATACTGGATATATCATAACTCTATTAACTGATACACGACTTTGTGACTAAAAAAAAAAATGTTATACCAACTTACTTACCTGTTGTCTGCCTGCACATCTTTAACAATTTGACACATTAGTGGCATGGAATTCCTCCCCTCTGCCTGACATATAAAGGCCATGTCAGAATCCCCTGGTCTTACCTTAATCAGGAAAATGTAGACTCTCAGCTTTTGGTCTTCCCGGTGGTGGCAGCAAGGTCTCTCACGACTGGTGTTGTCATAGTGATGACATTTCACGTCTGCACAAGAAGTAAGACACATATCAGACTCATTCACCTTCATAAATACAGTCATAATATTACATATAGAGAAGCATATTCCCTATCAGGCTACAACAATTTAATTTGTTGTAAGGAAGATTTAAGGAATGGCAGAATGATTTGCAGAAAATTGCCAGCTTAACTAAGTTAGAAAAAGCTATTAAGTACTTAGGTAAGACTTTGTGTGTACATCAAGTATAGAAATGTTTATGTTGTACATTCATATCCTAAAACCTTAGGCTTTCTTTCACTTAGGGGGAGGGGGGCATGGCTCAAATTTGCCAGCAGCAACGTACTGAAGGCAGTCTGTATGATCCAGAGATTATTACATTAATTTTGTAAAGCCCTGAAATGAAGTCAGGTCAGAGAAAAGGTCACAGCATTCAGGATAATCCCAGCCGTGATTAAAGTGCCATTCAGTCCCGGGCTGTGTTAGTGACATTTTCTTTAGAAAAGGATGGGTACAGAATTCCCACAGTTGACAGTCATCTTGATTAGGTTTACCGTATATACACGCATCTGAACAGGAACTGAAAATCAATAAAAGAGGGAGCCGTGGTGTCTCTGGTGACCTTATCTGGGTTACAGAGGAGGCAGGTGACATCACAACCAACTCATCTGACATATTATATGTCATCCATATTCTATAGTTATCGACAGCTGAAGTTTGATGTCTACATGCACCGGAAAAGTTGGTCATGGCCACCGGGTCTATACCAGATTAAAGTGTAAAATTATTCTTTCGTATCGCATGAAGGGATGACAAGACAGACTCCTCTTCCACAGATAACTGATGATGGATTATGACAATTTTGAGATGTTCATGCCCAGTTTGTGACAAATTGCACATACAGGAAAGACAAGACAATTCAATGTGCAACCTACATGACATATACATATATGTGCACACAGAATAGTTTGTGGAAGTAGTTCTTTTTCTCTATCAAAAAATCTAAAAAAACTGCCTCTCTATCACAGTAGAAATGTATAACAGCAAAGGTTTGTATAACCTGTCTGTCTATAAGCAGGGGTAGAAATTCATTTGGGGAAATAGCTAAAGAATTGGGTGCACCAAAAATATTTGGGGTGCACCATAATCAAATAATCTAAATCAACAAAGATTCTATTACTTTTCTGACACTTAGATGTCAAGAATATGCTGTATACCTGTACACATTTAATATCTTTACATATGTAAACCTACGAAAATAGTTGGGTGCACTGTAACAGAAAAAAATTGGGTGCACAGCTCCAAAGCACCCAGTATTTCGAGACCTAATAAGCTTGGTTCCATTTCTGCCCAAAAGGTATGTTTATTGTCCTGTTGATGGAGTCTTTACAATCCCGACGTTTGGCAGGATCAGGTGTGGTGGGAAACTTCCCCAGCAGAAGGGATCTTAACTTAAATCCCCTTTTCAAGAAAACCACCTGCTACAGATGTATCAGGGGAATCATGTAGGTACTGTAAATCGCTTTGTGTTCACAGTAGCAAAAGTTCATGGTCTGAGAAAAATTGACATGTTCGCGGAACTATACGTTCTTGATGGTGGCAGGTGCAGCAAAAAGAAAGTTGGCGAATTATTTGTTCACGGTAATGATACAGAAGTTGCGATATAGAAGTTGCGATATAGAAGTGACCGCAAAAACTGAGAATATAAAAGTACCGCAAAAAAATCGTGATTTACTTTATTTTTTACTTTATTTCAGAAAGCACTTGAGTAAGTCATAAAATGAAGGTAGCGATTGTGAGTGTGTAAACCCAGTAACTCGAGAGAGGCTTAGATGGATTTTCTTGATATTTGGTAGGTACATGTAGGGAGATTTGGAAGAGACCTGAAATGATTAGATTTGGGGCACCCTGGCGGTTTATTATTGTACTGTAGCAGAACTTCCAGTTTCAATATCTTGTATATTGGACATGATAGGGTCCCGAATTTTGGACAATAGACAACTCTTGTGCTCAGGAAGAAGTGGTACAAGTTTAAGCCACCCAGCAGCTGGTTCTGGAACTGCAGGGGAATTTATATTGACAAAGGTATGAGGTTGTGGAACTCTAGTTCCTGGATGTACTTTTGCATGGGGGATGTCACCCTGACAGCTTTCACACCACAACCTTGACCTGTTATGACCTTTCACCCCCTGCCATTTCTCACTGCAGTTTGACAGCATGACAGGTCCTAAACAGTTGATTTCCTTGTGAAATGTTAGTCTAAACTTTTAATCAAAACTTCATGTCCAAGTTTGATCAAAGATGAGAAAACAAGAGGGCAGCATGTATGTATATGGGGAAAAAACTCAAACATAACAGTCCACTACTGTGTAGTACATGTTGCCAAGTACAAACATAGTAGAGTCCAAGTTTTGGGACCTGCTGTTTCAGTTTACTCTTTCCTAATGACAACTGCATACATGCGGCTCAATCCAACCTCCATATATAAGCACAACTTACCGACATGTTAGCTAACTTCCACACACTTCTCTCCCGCAAATTTACAGTACAGCGAAAAACCAGACAACCAGTCTGACCTCCCGCGACCGGAAAACTTTCTTTAATAAACCCAGCTGCAATTGAGTTTACCAAATGTCAACTTCACTTTGAGCTTCAGAGATTGGGTCAGCAATAAATTAGACCCCTAATCAAGTTAGAAAGTCGTAACAAGGTTATATAATTGGATCCCCTCACATTGGGGATCACTGGCATTGATGCCAAAACACAACTTAGTGTCTAATGCTAACAACTTAAACACAATGCTGCATCAAAGCCTGAAGCTAGTAATCATGGACAAACTGTAAAAAAAACTGCTTGCATCAGCTGGTTATGTAACCGGTTTTTACCTTGTTTTTCTGGGAGGCTAAGTTGCAGACACTAGCTACGACAGTACACAACAATGGCATAGGCAATGGGGGGAAGCATTTTGAGCCTCGCTATTCAAAATACTAATGCTGAATAAAACCTCATATTACGAGGTCAATGTCTGTGTTTTGGTCATCTTTCATCGATAAAGGTCTCAAAAGGCCGCAATTCCCTTAACATATACAAAACCGCCCTCTAAGGCAAGTTGATACGACAATTAATGACTTGACAGACCAGTGCCTGAAATGGAACTGAAAGAGACCATCGATCACGCGCCGGCGCGATCGAACAAGTCGATACTCTTCGATAATCATAAGCCCCAGGTTTGCCACTTGGCTCACAGCCAAACAATTACCTTAATTCTGAGTGGTCAGCCCAACGTAATAAAGACCTACGACTGATCAATAAAACGGCTCAAGTAAGTTTATCAACTTACGGTGAAAGGCAAACTCAAATGGATCAAAGTACTTCAAATGTACACTCTAATACAAGTCACTTTATCATGTATCTATTTGACAAGTATTTAGCTTCATCTTTAAAACAGCTCAAGTAAGTTCATCAACTTACGGTGAAAAGCAAAGTCAAATGGATCAAAGTACTTCAAATGTACACTCCAATACCAAGTCATTTCTTCACATTTTCATTTGACAAGTATTTGGTTTCATCAGTGTCAATGGTTTTGTCTCATTGAACCTTGGCAAAGAGTTTTCATTCTTGAAGAATGAACACTATAATTACTGACATTCTCTATATAATGGAATAGGACCACAAAACTATATATCATTATATGTTTTATCTATTTACGTACGTGCTATATGACCCCTTCTATGGCAAGTAATAGATTGTGCTATAAATAATCTATTGGGAGCCCTCCATCAAGGACATGGGTATGACCTTGCCTAGATGAAAGTCCACATTTACAGCTAGAACAGGCCGTAATTCTTGCTCCCAACTTTGCATCTTTCAGCACTGCCCCACATATCTGACAATTACATGGTTACAGTCTTAATTACATGGTAGAAAAATAAGTTACTACATCTACACTGACAACTTGTTCCTTGAAACAAAATACCTCTTTACATTTACCGTTAGCTGTAGCCAAATTGTTAGAACTCTACTGGTTCATAGGAAATGATACTTGAATGGTTCAGCCTTGAAGGGCAAGGCTCTCCTCAAACTCAGGACCTCTGCCTTTTTTGAACATCCCATTCAAGAGGATGTCCCTAGCTGATGCTAGGTACTTATATTGTCAATGATCAGTCCTGAGTTGAGTGAGGAAATATGTGTTAAGTGCCTTTCCCAAGGACACTACGCTCGGGCCTGCCAGTGATGTCAACCTAGAAGTAGAACCTTCAGATTCTGAGTCAACAACCACAAGACCACCTTACCACTTCAGCATTTTTCCGCGACCAATTCCTAATCAAATCTACCTGTAATGCCATAGGAGAGAAACATATTTCTCACTGTCTAATTCTTACATGAAGTACGCTTCTCCTAATACACGTATGTGTAACTTGTCTTCATCAATTTCATACCACTGTAGCCCAAAATTACAGAAGTGATCTCTTTCTCATGCATATTTAATATAAAAAATATGCACATACTCATATATCTTAACCTGTGATCATAGTACAAGCTCAGACACCCTGTCGCCTTCTTACCTATAATTTGTCCTACATTCATGCATACTGCATTTTTCCCTGTAATAACTTTTTGCTTGTATCCCTATCTCGGAAATTTATCAAATTTTGAAATATCGCTTCCCAAAACACTTAACATGGCAGCAGCATAACTCTGTGCTAATAATATATTCCAAAAGTGGTAGAAGTACTTTTTTACCAGTGTTTTGCAATATTGATGAATGTCAAAATTTTGTTCTGCACGCAAGAAATACTTTCTGCAAATGCACACTCAACAGTCTGGATCTTAACCCATGGCATATACAATATTGCATGTTGGCAAATATTTAACATGCAATTTGACAAATACATACAAAATTACTTGTATATCATAGAATCAGTAATAAACACAAAGCTCTTAAATACTATCAAACCCCTAGCCTGATTTTTTCAGTCTACAAAATTGCAGGTTGCTTAATTTTTCTTCTGCAGTATTAAAAATGTCT